GTTGAGCTATAGGCACCGAGCCCCCCTTTGTCTTTACTATCCTGACAACTGTGTTTTGTATTGGATAATTCAGATATTAGAGGGAAATATGCAGTTTAATGTTTTAACCTGCATTTCTGTTATTTCAAATTACAGTAGACCTTCCATAGTTGAACACCTCCCTACACTGACTACCTCCTTAAGCTGACCTAATTTTCATAGATCAGACACACACCACATGTATGTAGCTGGATAGTAGGCCCAGTTCCTTATGTTAACCAGGTTGTTATAGTCCCTTGGGTGGTCAACTTACAGTCAACTTACAGCTACGTATATAACATGCTTTATTATGCTTTTTTCTTAGAGAAAGAGTCTCACTTTTATCGCCCTCAATAGAGTTCTATGGCATCACAGCTCACAGCATCCTCCAACTCCTGAACTTAGGCGATTCTCTTGCCTCAGCCTCCTGAGTAGCTGGGACTACAGGCACCCACCACAAAACTCAGTTATTTTTTGTTGCAGTTTGGCCAGGGCCAAGTTCAAACCCACCACCCTCAGTATATGGGGCCAACGCCCTAACCACTGAGCCACAGGCACCGCCCTTTATTATGCTTTCTATGGCATTTCTGTGATAGAAATGCATAGTTTGGGGCTTTGGGTCAGAAGAAAGAAGAAACCCAGGCATGGTGATAGGTGCCTATAATTTCAGCTACTCAGATCTCTTAAGCAGGAGTTCCAGGCCAGCATGGGCAACATAGAGAGACCTTGTCTCTGTTTTAAAAAAAGGAAGAGGTGAGAAGGTAGGTGGAGAAAGCAGGAGGGGTGAAGGCATTGAATCTTATCCGGCCCAGAATTACCAGGGAATCAGGGAAGAGAAAAAGCAGGGAAAAGCAGATGGTCCAAATCAGTGCCGTGGCCTGATGCTGCCTCCCTCCTTCCAGGAGAGTCTACTGTAGCTGCCTAATGGACCAGAGGGATGTCCCAAGTGTGACCCTGCTGGACTTCTACCCATCCCCCTTCCCATGTTACAGTTTTATAATGCAGCACTCGAAGGGCTCAGGCCAGCCATTGTCATTGCTCTGAGAGGAAGGGTTCTTTTTGTTTTCTTAGTTCTTTTTGAAATTTTTATTTATTTAGTTCGTTTTTGGAGACAGAGTCTTACTCTCTTTCCTTGGGCAGAGGGCCGTGATATCATAGCTTACAGCATCCTCAAACCATGAGCAATTCTCTTGCCTCAGCCTCCCAGTAGCTGGGACTACAGGCATGTGCCACTATGTCCGGCTATTTTTTGTATTTTTAGTAGAGACAGGGTCTTGCTCTTGCTCAGGCTGGTCTCAAACTCCTGAGCTCAATGAATGGATCCACCCACCCCAGTCTCCTGGAGTGTGAAGATTACAGGTGTGAGCCACTGCACCCGGCCCCAATTAAACTTTTGCTTTATGGGGGCATGGACGCTTGTCTTACATTCTCTTGGCAGGGTTTAAAGTGGCTGGGTGTGTGTGACTCCAGATCTTGGAGCGCTATAGCTACCGTGAAGGTGAAGCCAGGCTTTGTTTGAAGTGCTTTGTGTATGTTATTTTGTCCAATCCTCAAAACAGCCCTGTGAGGTAATTCTGTTACCTCCATTTTACAGAGCAAAAGACAGAGGCATTTAAAGGAAAGGATCCTCTCAGAACTCACACCCAGTCAATATGCCCCCACAGTCCATACTCATGGCCAGGAGTCTCAAACCTTTTGTGAAGAGACAGGTAGTAAATACTTTAGGCTCCATGGAACATACAGTCTTTGCCACTACTGTTCAACTGTGCTGTGGTAGCATAAAAGCATCCATAGACAACACTTAAATGAATGAACATAGATAGCTATGTTTCAATAAAACTTTATTTACAAAAACTGGCAGAGGGCTGGATTTGGCCCACTGGCTCTAGTTTGCAGACCATAGCTCTTAACCACTAGTGTCTACCTGGCATGTACATAAAACCGCTCATTTACATTTCCTCTGACTGTCTCACTCCCTGTGACATTCCATTCAAACAACTGTCATGACATGGGGCTTACGTTTACAACGCATCTGTTCTTCACAGCACTTTCGTGAGGCAAGCTTTATCAATGTCCCCATTTTAGAGAGAATAAAAATGAGACTTCAGAGACAGTCACTTGCCCAGAGTCTCATGTTAGAAAGTTCTTTAACACATTTTAAACTTAAAGTCTAACTCAACAAATGCCTATCCATCCCAACACTGATGTTTACTTTTTTCCTTCTAAAATTCGTCTTTCTTTTTTCATATTCTATGCTGTGCTTTCTTTTTGGGAAAACAAAGAAGAGGCACCTTAAACCTTCCTTCTGGATCTTCTAGAGTTTTCTATTTTGAGCTTCTAGAATCTTCTAGGTGAAAAATGTTCTCATACCATGCCAGCCATGTGTGACTGGGCACAGCCTAAGCCTGACCACTTAGATTGCCTGATCATTCTGGGTCTGGCAACCAGGCAGGGCCTGTCAAATGTCATCTCTGTGCACCAGTGTAGGACCTAGGAGTAGGAACCACAGCACCAGGGACTAACAGTTACTTACAGCTCACCGCACACTAGGTGCTGTGCTGGACATGTTATTATCATATTTAATCCTCAGAACAGCTCTTGAAGTAGGCTCACCTCTATTTTAGAGATACAGAAATAGCACAGAAAGTGAAATAACTTCGGCTATGAGAATTGAGGGTCCCACATTCCTGGCCTATTATGATTATTATTATTATTTTTTTTTTGAGGCAGATACTCTGTTGCCCTGGATAGAGTACTGTGGCGTGGTCATAGCTCACAGCAACCTTCAACTCCTGGGTTCAAGTGATTCTCTTGCCTCAGTCTCCAGAGTAGCTGGGATTACAGTTGCCCACAACAACGCCC